ACATGTATGTACACACACATACATACGAGTATGTTCAAAAGTTTTATAAAAGTGTTTTAATGACCCAAAAAAGTGCCCTTTTGACTTCTTAAGCCAATGCTTACCTAATAGCGAACCCCTTCGAAAAAAGTGCAAGTATTGAATCCATTTTGGGGTATTAAAAAGCTAAAAAAAAGGTTGGAATTGCACGTTTCGCAATTTCAACAGCAAAACTTTTGCTGAACAACAAATTACAAAGCTGGCCAAAACTTTCGGATAATTTTAAAACATAAAAAAAAAAATTTATAAAAATGCGAGTTGACAAAAACCCTTGAACTAAGGTAAAGTCTTTAACATATATAGATATGTATTTGTATGTATGTAGGTATGTACATATTTAGTATGAGTACAAAATACGGAAGTTGGGGTGAAAATGCAAAAGTTGGCAGCGTCAAGTTGGCGCTGAGTTGATGCAGAAGTAAAAGAAATGCCAGCTCATATGGACGTGTGTATACGTGTGAACGTATGCGGAGAGCTCGACTTAAGCGGATGCCAGCAACCAAAATTTTGTCGGAATTATTTTACGTACGCGACTTTTTCGACATTTCTTACATAGCGTTTTTTTTTTAGTTTGTACGTAACTTCTAAAGAAATTCAAAACGTTGTTATGGTGTACGGTAAGCGTAAAATTAAAGGTGCTGTTATACATACATATGACCAAGTACATTGTTCGCATGCGTGTGTTTTTTGCGATATATAAGAAAGTACTTATGTAAATATATACACTATTCAGCAGAAAGTTGGGCAAAGAAAAATCGCAACAAGAATAATGAGAAAGGCATAAATTTGCGGAAGTTACAAGGATACCGCCATGAAATAAAAGGCCATATATGTATTTACATATTTATGCACATACTAGCGAGTATGTATAAACATAAGTATGTTGGTTTATTTGTAAACATATTTATATTTAATGAATGAATAAACAAACACACCAAATACGAGAACGACAAAGCACAATTTGGACTTGCGAATGTGGATGCGACTTACAGCGGCATCATATCCGCCGGCGCTCAACCAAGACAGAGCTTGTCATATAAGCTGGCTTCCAGCAATGCATTCACACCAGAGATGGAAAAGTAGGTAAAATCTTACATTCTGCAGCCCTTTTATAATTTTCGAGTACATTTGTTATATGACAGACGAATCTGTCTGGGCTTGGATAGCGTAATCCCAAGAGCCACAAACCTTAAGCATCTGAGAGCAAGAGTTATGATGCTTGGTTCGACCTCTGACTGACCGTATGCTGGTTCCTAGGTAAACCCAGTCCGTTACGGCTTCGAAGTAATGGCTGTCAATAGTACTATGCATCCTTAGTTGGCTCGAAAGGAAATAAGTAAGTACGTCGAATAGACACGGACGCTTCAGCTCTGAAACTATTCAATTCGGAACCCGCCGGTGCTAGCAGAGGAAGGTGGGTGCGATGGAAAGACCAAGTTGAGAAGGACTTGGCTTCACCTGGCATTTCCAATTGGCGTCAAGAAGGAGAAGTCAAAACGCATTTGCAAATAAAACCAATAAGTGTATATCGTTTGCTTTATACAAATTACATAGAAGACCTACGAGCAGCTGAATTAGCCTCGAAACGTTCTTACAGTTTGAAAAGCTTAACGTATTAGATAAAGGGAGATAAAGGGAGTCTCAAAATCACGCATGGAAGATTCGCCTCGTAACAAACTTGTCGTGATGTGAAGTATGTAACAAAATCTACATACCTACAAATTGTTTAGGTACACTCGTCTGCTGTAAGGTAAAATTTTTTTCCACAAATTAAGTAAAATTTGAGTTTCCACCCCAGATTAACACCGGAAACAGCCAGAGAGCTAAGCTAGACACTGAAACTCAGCAGCCATTTTGTATTTCTCTTGGCTGTTACATATTTTTCCGTAGGCAAAGGATTGTGATTTCTTAACGCAAACGAAAACATACAAGGCAACAAAAATCAAATCTCTTACAAAATAACAAGCGAAAGACAACTTGCCGCCGGCTGGTTTCTGTTTAGCATTTTCTGAATTTAAATTTTTTTAACTTTCTTTTGCTGTACACTCTTGGCCCACATAGCGCGGTGCAATGCAAATTAATGTGATTGCGTTCTCAAATATGCTTTTAGGATAATGAAGTGTTTGTGTCTGCTGTGCACAGACATATGGTGACATTTGTCCGAATACTATTACAATTTCAGAAAATGCCTATACTCATAAGTGCATACATATATGTAGTATGTGTTTGTATACATACATAGGTGGCGCCTGTTTAGCTTTCCTTAATGAAATTAAAGCAATAAAGTCACGAAGGAAAGTACAAGACTTCGCGTGTCAACAAATTGGTTGAAGTAGTCTGCGTAAAATAAACTTTAGCTTGACAAATTGGTAGAAAAGAACAGTTTAAAATAGTAGTATAGAGAAGTTCCTTGGAATAACTATGTACATATGTTTGTACGTGGAAAGTAATTGGTTATTGATTACATGGGGCAACACTGATTTTGGTGCGGCAAATGTAAAAGCCGTTTTTGATAGACTTTTTTAAGCTGATTGTATACAAATCTTTAAGTATTTCTACTCCATCGGCTGCAGATTTTTCAGAAAAACGGAAAGCGAAAGATTCTATCACCTTTTGTTTCTTTGCTAGAGCTTCCAAAATATTGCAGAAAGCGCGATTTTTTGACACTTTGACCACATTCCTATCTTCATATTTACAGATTCGTAATCAGTACGAAAAAATCTATCAAACGCAGTTTTAACATTTGCCGCATCAAATCTTTTTTTTCACTTTTGTTGGGCTGTGTTATTTTTATATTTGTACTTGGGAATTATTTTTTCACTTACCGGTAAACTCAAATTTCGCGCCAATCGTAAGTTATTCAATTCGACTAATTCTAGTATGAAACCTTGTGGTAGGCCACCATCAAAACCCTCCACACAGTCGACTTGTATTGAATCAGTTGATTGATTTGTGACTGTGCAATTTTGTAGTGGAAATGGACGACCTAAAATTAAAAAAAAATATTTATATATAGATAGTAATTAATTTAAATGGATTATGCACAATCATTTAGGCTAGTAGTTAGTGGTGAAATGGAATAAAATTTTTCAAGAACAGTGCAGCATATCTGGTGGACAAATTCTGTAGGTCTAATGCTAGGCAGAAAGAATGCAACCAACTCCATTGCACGAATAAAAGTTTAATTAATATGGGTTTAAATTTAATTAATATGGGTTTAAATTTAATTAATATGGGTTAAATTTATTATTTTTCTGGAATTTTCTGATCGAAACTATCCCTGTAATCGCTCAACTAAAGCCGCCGCCAAGCATGATCACTTGAAAATGGCGGAAAAGCAGGTAATTTCGATGGAAAATAACAAGATGAGGTACATACATAAATGGTTCGGTGCCTAAGGGCCAGTTTTTCAGTGCCAGTTTAAACTTAGATCATGTAAACTGCGTTCATATTTAACAGCTGACTAACATTTGATTGACTAATACTATTTTAAACCATCGCTTCATATCAGAAATTATGCACTTACTTGAGGCATCCTGCAAAAACTATACCAAAGTTGTCTAAACGGCAAAAGCCAAAGCGCTACAAGCCGTCGGGCTCTGTATGATCACCAAAATCATTTGTAAATAGCCATAGCCGCCTTCCCATATTTTTACTAAAATAAATAATCCAATGCTCAACATTTATTATGCGCCCCCCAAAAAACTCTTATAAATTTTTACGGCAAAGCCGCAGCGCTATAAGCTGTAGGAACTCTTACAGAGGTAGTATATTATGATTACCACTGGTCACAGTGTTGAGCCAAAAACTTTTTAATTGAATAAACTTTGCGTCAATTACTCCTGGTCCTCTTCTCTAACTGATAATAAAATAACATTTTCAAAATAATAATTTCCTTAATTGGAAGCCTTCTAAGGTAATTTTATCCAAATTTAAGGGATGTTTCCATCTTCCAAAAAAAAAGAAAAAAAAGAGAAAATAATATAAAATGACGGAAAAGAAATTTTCTTCTATCAAACTTTCTTAAATCAGTTTGAATCTCTCAAGAATAGAATGCATGTATATCAAGGCACACTGAACAGGTAGTATCAGTATAAAAGCTGATTTTATTTAATATATTTTTTTTTTTTCAAATTAATTGGTTTCTTAAGTGTCAAATATTTTTAACTTATTCTAAATTGTTAAAATCTATTTGCATGTAAAACCTTTTTCCATACAAAACAAACGATTGATTAGCCTTTTGGAACGTTAACCCAACTCAGCAGCACAAAAGCTAATTACGGGGCCTTTTAAAAAATAGATCAATACTTAGAGACGCAAACAAATTTACTAGGAAAAAAGTTGAAGAAATTTTTACTTTCTCCAATTTTGATTTTTTTATTTTGGTTTGTTTTTAACCGACTTCCAAAAAGGGAGGAGGTTATCAGTTCGTCGGAATATTTTATTTTTTTATGTATGCATGACTTTGGACTACGTCAACCGATTTCGATAATTCTTTTTGCAACGGAAAGGTAGTATCTCAGAGGTGGTCCCATACTAATTTGGTTTAGATTCATTCATTGAATCATGAAATATATAGATATATATATATATTTTTTTAAGTCGATTTTTTTTGCTAAAAATTACTTGTTGACACTTTCGATACCAGAAGCAACAACAAAATATATGTAAATGTTGTTTTTACTTTAAACAGGTGGTAGGTTTGATATGCTTTGTTGTGTATTTATTTCTTCACGCAAAGCAAAGTATTTTTTCAGGCAACAGAAATAAAGAAAAGGATTTTTCTTGAGAGCTGGTAACTAAGCTTAAACCTCAAAGACATAGTTCTGCAATGTTTTATATTTCTGGCAATGTAAATGAAACAAAAATCAGATGCTGATAATTAATAGTACTTTAGGTAATTATAGTCATTACTTACCTGCTGCTACGATTTGAAAAACGCACGGACTCTTTTGCATGCCAATGGAATTTCTTCCCCAGCAAGATATTGTCCCATAGTCGAGGTCGGTGGACGGTGTATAGTTTAGTCGTGACATGCCAGTCTAAAAAGCAGAATATACAAATGTAGATACATACGTATGAAGATAAAAAATATACGTTTTTATATGTATAATAATAAAATATGAAGTTGGACTGTTTCATATGTAAGGCCTTTTTTTAGGGTTGTAAAACTTTAAATTTAAGTACGATTCCAATAATGAGACAACATAATCTCAAACTGATGACAGGCTTTATTGGAAAAACTATTTTATGCTATTCTTGTTCGAAAAAGGTCTTCACAAAACATTCTATTTGATGATATTAATCTTCTCGTCATTCTCATTTTTAAGGAAGTAAGGACCAACGTTTCTACTAAATATACTGCACAGTGAGTTTTTATGGATGTGACGGTATCTCTTTCCCGCTGGGAAGACTCAGGCTGACATCACCGCCATTCAAGAAACTAGCTGGACACGGTAAAGCATGGCATGGAAAAAAATGTGAATTAGGTGTGAGATTTGTGCGTCGTAAAGTATTGTCACTCACACCGGTGAATGAGTTTAATATGAGCAACTGGAACGCACTTTCATGCGCAGACCCTTCACCAAAAAGTCGTGCCAGACTGGGCCAGGAAAGGATCTTTGCTCTACTTACCAGAAAATGCAGCGTACATTATGAAAGTTTCGACAAAGGACTAAGGTTTTTCCACTTCGCCGGAGCCGGAAACGTGGTGGTAGTAAAAAGATCCACCAAATCGCTTAGTTGCCGGATCGAAAAAAATAATGCTTCCATCATTTTGGATATACTATGTACATACATACGCACCCTGCTAGGCCCAAACATTGACTCGGGCGAGGATAACATAAAGTCAATGTCGATTAAAATATACGGCTTATTCGCCACTTGACTCTGAAACCTGCTCTTAGAGGAAGAGAAGGGGGTACAATATTTATCGGTAATTATGTAAATCCGCTGAGGGATTAGTTAGATTTTAGCAAGCTCAAAAGAATAACTGATACTAGAAGAAATGTCGGGGCCATCAGGGGATCGCAACGAAAGAGAAGTGCAAATATGTGAGTACAAAGAGCTTGAAATGCTGGCAGAAAAGAAAAATACTCAAAAATTTTCCCACTAACGGAAGGTTTCCAAAAAGACGCACTTTTGAAAAAATACAATGGAGGTGATTTTATATATGGTTGGGTCAATTTGAATAGTATAACCTAGAGTAGTTTTTACGTTTTAAATTGTAATGAGTGGGGGTTCGATATAATGAGGTGTGAATCACGTTTTTAAATAGCGTGCAAATGTATATTTTCTGAATCAGTTTTTGCCCATTAATTATTTTCCTTCCTAATTGCACGACCCAAACAATCCAGAGATATTACTCTGTAGCTGTCAATGCATCTCATGCAACGCTGAGTTTGGGATTTACTTTCATTATTAAGGGTTTATTTGAATTCCTGGGTGAGCTTGTTCAATCGGTTTTTGCCTTCTGGATATCGAGTTATGTTAAAGTACTTAGCTTTTCTTGGAATTTTCAATTAATTGATACAGCAGAAGGAGGAATTAAAATATTTTTATATTAACATATGTATGTTCTCTATATGTTTTTACCCGTATATACTATGTGGAATGATTAGTACAAAATTACATCTAACCTCTGGTTTAATAACATCTAAAATTATCGAATTTCTAATTTCAGACTTATCTATCACTTAGATTAATATTTATGAGCGGTAAGGAGTCAAGTCATACATCTCGTTCAGTGTTTAAAGTGCGTCGTGTCTGGCTTTGTTCAATCTCATTATTTGTCAATTCTTCTCTGTTTAAGTGTATTTTTGTAATCTTGCTTTCAATGAAAATTATATAAAAAGTTTCTGCTGATTTATTCATTAGCAAACTTAGTAGAGTTGGAAAAGATTACTTCTTCTTTTATTTTATTTTATTTTTGTGCGCTTGTTAATGAATGCCAACGCTATCAATTTGCAACATTTGACACGCCCACTTTCCATTAGTTAGCAAGAGTTATTCACAGTAGAGGCAATACATACACCAATGAGTGAGTCAAGGATAACAAAAAAAAAAAAACAAAAATGATAATAAAGCAGTGCGAATTGAAGTAAAGTGAATTAAACAACGAAGAGTATTCGCTAACACCCTTTAATGGAACACAATAGAGTGGCCATCACTGACACTGAATGTAAGGCCGCAAGCCAAAAGATGTGCACAATAAGTTGTAGTTAATGCAACGTAGTCTGAATGTGTGGAGACCAAGCTACAGCTAACCACTTGAGTACTTAGGTCGAGTTCAATTACATTGACTGAATGTGACTCCTTGCACAGCTATTCATTGCCGCCTTTACAACAATATATGTATGTATGTATGAAATTACCTCCGTTGAGTGTAGTCGCGCGGGCAATTCCGTTTGTTCGCCGGACGAGTTAAATGTCCATGTAAATGCCTCCGCTGGCGGTGATGAGTCCACTTCACATTTTAGCATCAGCGTTTCATGCTTCAGGGCACCGAGTAGCTCCTCATGATCGGTGGCACAAATGGGTGCAACTGCAAGAAACCGAAAAAAAAAATAAAAATATTGAACAAATGTGGAAAAACGAAAGTTGAAAAAGTGAATACGCAGGGGAGCATAAATGGACATTGGCATTTGTATGTTATCGCGTGGGTGTGTGCCTCTCATCTTTTGTTTGCCCAGACAAACCTGGGGGTGAGAGCAGCAAAAACAACCATGTAAACCAAGTAACCAAATGAGGCAAAAAAAAAAGAAAAATAAAGAACTGTGTGCAGCAAAATTGCTGCTTGCGGAAATTCAACGCTTCGGATAATGAAATGAATGCAGTGCTGCATTTACGGAAACCCAGCTTTCGACAGCACGCAACCCCTTTTTTTGCCATACTTCCATTTCTCGCCAACCTTTTTCATAATCCCATTTCACGTCTTTGAAACAACTGGCGCTTTTGTCTTTTTGCGTGTGCACCATTGGTTGCTATTTTTTCGCCTATGCTATGCTTTCATTATTTGGTTGTTTCTGCTTCGTTTTCGTGAACTCGCTTCTTTGTTTTTGTAAGTGTAATTAGCCTGAAAGTCGCCGCGTTGGCTTGAAATTGCAATTAAGTATCAAGTCAGCATGTGAAAGGCAACGGGCAGCAGGCGCAGAAAAAAGAGCATATCACAAACAACTGCAGCAGAAACAGGAAGCAGCCAGAAGGGAAGGCTTCCATTCGCTGGCGTTTGGTAGAAACTAAAAGAATATAGCGCAATTTTTCGCTGGCACTTAATTTTTTTATGTTTTTCCGTGCAGTTTGCGCATTTTTTTCATTTCTCTTCTTTGTTGTTTTTATCTTCCGACATTGCTGAAAATGCAATTATTTACGTACGTCGAATCTGGCGTTGGATTTTTTAATGCGCCTTTAAAGTTTCTAAGTGCGTTATAAATATTTTAATGTGAAATAAACTGCACGTCTTCTTCTCTGTGACTGTGAAATGTCTTATGCAGCACCCATCAAAGGACTTCAAATAAATGGTGAATACGAAAGTCTGGTGCCGAGTGAATGTTAAATCGTGATGAAAAGTGGAATAACTAGGAAAACTTTGGAAAAAACTTCTTTGAAATGACAGCATGTTAAGCCAGTTAAATAAAGTATAATAAATGACTTAATGTAATTAGTTTATTGGAAAATTTAACTAACAAGGCACACCGAAACAAACGCATCCAGCCGATGAACAAAATGCCCTGCCAGCATTTTCTATTGCGGAAGTTACTAATTCGACACGCCATTTCTATGAATATCATCGCCCATGATATCCCTACTTCTTTTTTGAATTCTTATCCGCTCTCGGGAAGAACTGTTCCACCAAGACATCACATTTTTATGATACAAAGGCGATACAGCAATTAGGAACTATTTCGATAGGAATGACAGTAACTTGTGTCGCAAGGAGACGCCATTTTCATCCTTCTTTCCGATCAGATTACTAGCTCAAACGCACCTGTGGTAAAAAGGCAATCAAACAACGCCACTATTAAATTAAAAAAAATTATTATTTTTTGTTATTCGAATGCAATAATAATAATGATATAGTTTCCCCGTTGCCTGCACGTTAATTGAAAAATCAAAAAGGATTGAGAAAATAATACGTACATATAACGGGTAAAAATCTTCGGGCCATCTTTAAAAAGATAGAAAAGTGACAGAAATATTTTTTGATTTTGTGAAATGAGTAACTATCGCTTTGGTAACTTCCAATATGACGAAGAAATGATATCGTCCAATCCTACCAATGAACAAATGTTCAAGCAACAGGAAAAATTCACCCTTACGTGATACATATATTACCTAGATATTCAAGGAGTCCTGCATTATGAAAATTACGTAATTATTTCAGAGTGCAATTAGCAAATGATTACATATTTGAAAACCAAGTTTGCATCAGATAATGTGAAGAAATAAGTTTTTTTTTTTGACGACGCTGGTTCTTAGTATAAAAATAAGTCAAATCTTATAAAGCTTGCGATTTTCAAAAGGGATTTTAATTTAAATGTTGAATGACATCTCTTTGCTACATCACATGGAAAAGGCCCCTGTGATGGAGTAGGTGGCACAGTTAAACGACACGCTTCGCGTCTCAGGTCGCAAGGAACCATGGACGACCATATAACAAACGCGAAAGAGTGGTATGAATGGGCGATAGGCTTATTTAAAAATATCTCTTTCGAATACAGTACAGTTGCTGATTACAATAAGAATGAACATTTTCTATAACGAAGATTTAAGGTAGCAAAATTAATGAAAAACACTCGGAAGTACCACTCATTCGTGTCACATTATATGAAGGCAGACTTCATCTTTAAAAGAGTACGTTAAAAGTAAAATATACCAGGTAATTTAACTAAACGATTTACACTTTGTACAGTTGTATGGGTCCCTTATCCTTTGTAAACTTTAAAATGCTATAAATAAAATAAAAACTAATGAATTCGAAAATAAGACATTTATCTGTAAGTTGGCAGTTAATGTAGGCAGAGGTAAAAAGTCCAAACTATATGATTAAGAACTTCTTTATTCTTTATATGCTGGCATCACTGTGTGTCTATCTATTGTAGAATGATTTCACTGAGCATAAGAAGAACAGATTCGACTCATTCTAATTGTATAAGAATAAAAATTGGCTGAAGGAAGTAAAAAAACGATTTTGTAGCAGATAAGCATTAACCATCAACATTCACTACAAAATGCTAAACAGCAAAGCATACGCATAGCTTGACTCATAGCGGCGCCGTTTTTACAAAAAGTACATATGTACATGTTGACGTTAGAACCCATCTGGGACTTAACTGTCATTCCATCTTTGAAATCTGAATAACTGTAAGTAAGTAAGTAACTGTAAGTCGAAGTGCTGATTACACCGAGTATGGCTACATATACTGTCACCATTTTTGCTGTCGTTTGTTTGGTTTGGCCGATCCCAAAAATTTAAAAACAGGATTCGATTTTTGATAATTAGGTCTAAAGCTGAGCTTTTTATTTTTTCTGAGACGGACAAGACAATTTTTTATAACCTCAAAAAGAGCAAAAGGTTTTGCGTATATCAAGTATTAAGGGTATTATTTAATATTATTAGAAATTTGAAAAGCTTATAACTTATACGTCGTAATGCTTACAGTATTCTTAAAGTACAGGAGAAACTAAAGACGCCAAGTGGTTACTGATTTATTGTGAATTCACTAAAGAAGCAGAAGGCAGTTTTTTATCTGTGCGATTCGACGAATTCTGACTCATACCGCATATATGCTGAAACAGTGGCATAATCCAAAAAAGAAAAAATAAGTTAACCCTTGTGTTAATACCCGGGTACCGGGGTACCCACATCAGGACCTTTTTCCGTATAAGTCGAGTATTAGTTGACATTTCTTTCCCATCCTCCGGATCGTCGTTATTCAGCTTAAATAAAGGGACTTGGACAATTGAAAGTAAAAAAATTGTGTTATTTATCAAAAAAATAATCGAATTGAAATGTAGTATACCGTACCAGCACCCGGGTACCCGGGTACCCAATCACTCCGGTAGTCTATTTTGTAGTTTTTTATACCTTTCATGAGCATGAAATGGTATTATAACTTTGGTCCG